TAAAAAAAGTGCGTAAGTTATGAAGATGGTAACAATCAAAAATCTATTATAAATTTAATTCTACATTTTTAGACAAAGAAATTAACCCTCTTGGCCCACGGCCCATTTTTGACACTATTACCATGCGTATTATTAACCTGTAGTGTATATATACAATGAATTTTTTCTAGTAGGATCAGAGTTGACTAACTGGTACTTGGTGTGGTGCTAGGTTTATCGCATTTATGGTTTAGGGGCCGCGGTTTACCTCCCTCCGTTTAGTCAGGCTGGATCAGGAGTAGTAAACTCGGCGATCGTGGGTTCGATTCCCACACGGGGCAAGTCTTTTTTATATTTTTGAATTTTTTTTTTAGATAGTCGTGGGTTCGATTCCCACACGAGCCAATTTTTTATTTTTTTTATTTTTATTTGATGGTGGATAATGAATAGCAAACATGAGGGTTGTGTGTTCGATTCTCACACGATCTTTACGTGTATGATGTAACCATGGCTGTGAATTGTGATTATAACAGCATGCACGCAAAGATCGTACGTGGCGGATACCCTACGCGGCGCTATTTACACGATCTTTTGTTACATTTTCGCCAGTGACGTCATGGTAAAATCGTATATAATCGCCTATAACTTCATAAAAAAAAATAGCCAAAAAACGATTTTAATGTTGGTTCTATTATTAATGGCATATCAAAAATTCACTCCAGAACAAAAAATCAATTTGCTAGTTCTCTTTTAAGTAGTGTTCATCGTGGGTGATGTTTTTAGTCGATATCATGGCCCTTGGTCCTAGTACGAGTCAGAGCCATATTTATAAAGAATTGCGACCTTTTGCTCCTTGGTTTGCGAAAGTCACGTGGTATACACCGTCCATTTTGTGTCATAATCTTCTCGATGAACACATCACTTTGTATGGACAGCATATTAGAATTCATATATAATCGAATATTTGCGCGCATGTGTGCTCACGTAAATTCCGTGCTCGCGTAAATTATTGGAATGAATTAGAATTTCTTTCAATTATCGTTAATTCGTCACATTTTAATTAACGAAGACTGAAGATCCGATGTATTTTAATTAAAAATGTAAATTAACTAATAAGTATGTGTTTTATTATGCTATTCGTTCCCCTGAGATATATGTATATATATGTATATATATAAAATCAAAACAAGATGACGCTTAGTTACAAATTCAACATTTTATTGCACTACAGGCTGTTTCATGAGGTACTTCCTCAATCATCAGGTGCTAGGCTCTATGTATATATATATATGTATACGTTTCCGTTCCTTGGCACGTACTGGCCAAGGACATTTATTTCATCTTTTATATAAAGGCCTTCAGCCTAAATAAAATATAATTGCTATTTACAGAGGGAATGATCACTTCTACGTTTAAATGAGTGATAAAGAAATTTACATAAACAACTTATTGTATTGATATCAATAGTGAACATTAATTGAGTAAACTTAACTTTGGATGGATTAACAATAAAATACTTGAATATATAATGTTTACGAATATCAGTGTAACAAGGGCAAATTAAAGTAAAGTACTCATCTTCAACTAAATTTAATGTACAATGTTTGCATAATCTATCTTTTTTATCAATTTTTGACAATCTACCAGTTTCAATTTCTAATTCAAGGACTCCTAAACGCGACTTAGTGAGAATACGTCTATAATTAAAATTTTGTATATGCATTAGGTATAGTTCGATTGTAAAATTATATTTAAATGTCACATAATACTTAAGTCTGGAAAATAAATGAATTTGTTCATGAAAATTTTGACGTTCAATATCAGTTAGACGAGTAGTATTTCAGATATAAAAGCAACATTGTTCTCAATATATTATTCATACCAATTTATACCAAAACCAATTGAACATAATTTCTCCTTATAGTCTGATTGTAAAACTGCTGAAATGAACTTTAGCGAGAAAAAAGTAAAGGAAAATTAATTTTTGGTTTTTCTGAATCTGCATACCCTATAGTGTCTCAGAAAGAAAAAAAATCCCCATGCCTAGGGCTTGGGCAATTTTTTTTACAGCACTTTGAAATTTTGACCTAAAATATCCTTTTCTGGATTAATTAAGATGGAGGTAGGGGAAATAAATGTATGCTTTTAGTCACTTTTAAATATACTATGTATATCAAAAGTAACAAGAACTTGGCTTAATAGTTACTCTTCATTGTATGTATTTTGATGTGTCTTGATGTTTTGGTTTGGTTTTTTATATTCTCTTCATTTTTGGAGGCAATCTTGAATAAATTGAATTAAATTGAATTATGCGTAGCATTAATGCTACATGCTACGGGGGTCCAATTATTATGCAAGAAGGCCTTGCTACGAATGGCCACTATGGTGTGCCATCTAGATAAAAGTTTAGCGTGTAAAGATATTTTCCCATCATTGCCAAACCACATACTAAGTTGATGCAAATGCAAATTCAATTAACCAGGAAAAAACCTTTTTTGTATAAATTGATTTGCCACTTTTTTACATTTGCTATACTTTAGGTCCATTTGTTAATTATTAAACACTACCCTGAAAACTACTTCTTGCCAGTCACTTGGTTTACTGATCATCAAGCTCCCCCACTTCACCTTCGCACACCCCACCCCCCATTTAAAGATTTCTAGATACGCCACTGCACTTCGTATGCAATAGGTGGTATGATAGGCCTTTTTTAGTGATACAAGTTTTTCAGTGATGGACAAAAATTTAATTTCAAGGGGAGCAGCTTTGTATCCAAGGGGCTGATGCTGGCAGATGTTTTAGACAACTTTACAAATACAGGCCCGTATTTAGGAATTTCAATGGGGGGGTTCGGCTTGGGACTATACGGAACTCCTTATCAAAACCCACATACTTCTTCTTCTCTCCCCTAAATGGGGACTTTATTCAGTGTGATAGGCCTCACGCCCTTTTACAGTATAAATAAATATACATTTTTAGTGCTTTTAATAAGACGAGACTTTTTTATACCTTGTTTAGCGAACCCTCCGATTCCGAAATTGTGGATTTCAAAATAAAAATAAAATTTTATTATAAGTGTGTTAGCGTACGAGCCGCCATGAAAAATTGAAAAAAAGAAATAAAATTAAAAATTTATATTTATTTTTATTCTCTCCTCCGCTACATGGAATCCCTTTTTCCGAAAATTTAAATCTTCCTAATTTTCACGGAACTCCATCACCCGCAAGGGGGGGGGGGGGGAATCGGACGAATCCCCCAAACCCCCCCCCCCTAAATACTGGCCTGAAATATATGATCAAATAGTTTCATCTGGTTTTGTATCGTTATACTTCATATATTTTTAGACAAATAAACCAATAAGTGGATGTTAACTCCCGCAAGCTTTCAAAACGTTTGTTTGATGATCGTCAATTATGTGTATGCCCGGCACAAATATAGAGGCAATTTTCAAGCAGGGGAAAAGGTAGCAGGGTAACACCAGAACAATATACAAAAACTAGCATGCTCATTCTTTGTATTTCAGCATCATGTGTTTATTTCTTTTATAAAAACCACTGGAGAACAGACACTTGACTGCTCATACAAATCCAATCAACAATTAACTACTTTGTAATAAAGCTTATTTACCATTTTTCTACACAACAGAACAGATCTATTTCCACAGGAGACAACAGTTCATGTGATGCTTCCTTTTATTAAGATATAAATTCGTTTTTCTGGGATTTACTCTACTATTTTGTTTTTTTTTCTTTTGTTTGGTTTTAAAATGATACAATATCATTTTAATGGTATATGCAAAAAGAAAAGCACAATTTGATTCCAGTTCACTTTTCTACACAAATATAAAAATAATAATGGTTCATCTTAAATATTCCGTTATGTATTGAATTATTGTCGTACTGTAATAGTTGTTTTCAAGTGGCTATAATCTGATTAATGTGTTAGTAGTAGCAAAGTAATAACACAGTACAGAACTTGCTAGTCTAGTAGGCCACACTAATTATAGCCTGTGTGTTACTTAAAAAAACATAAAATGGTTTTTAACTTCTGTAGTCTTTACTTTTCATAGCCAGCTTCATTATGAAGACAGCCTTATAATAGCCACAAAACAATCTTAGACAAGAGCTTGTTGAGTATTGAAAATAATTACTCCATAGTCACTGTCTGTGTTAATAAAAATCCAATTTTTGCATGATGTTGCATCCAGTGGCACCACCAGCAGGGGTTGCAGTGAGACACATGACCTTGTCATGGAAACTCAGACCACCGGCAGAAGAGAAGCAAATTGGGGAACACTGTTTTAAAAAAGCAAGTTTACAGTGTGAGTCTGCCATTTCCAGGAATCTAGTGATGCCTATTCCAAAATTTGCTCATACATGGTGGGACCTTGGACCCACTGTTGGGGAATCTGTCACTGGTTGCATCTTGCTCACTATCACACTAAGCTCTCTGCAAAGGTATGAAGAAAAAACTGGCCTAGTTTTTCCTGCCAAAAACAAGTTAAAATCACAGGTCAAGTATCGAAAAAGAATGGGTTTCTATTTTTTAAAAGAAAAAATAATTATCATCAATTTTATGCCAACAGCTACAGCTTTCCTTTACCATGCTAAAAAACTAAGCTAGGTACTAGTCAACTTATTACAGAACAATATAGGGTCTATATAAAAGTAATATCCCAATGCTAGCCACTTTAATAAGCATCAAGCCCATCTATATACCACTTATATCTGCCAATACACTAGATGAGCACACATGGCATCATATGATGGTCGTACGGCTGTCAAATTCATCACTCTGTGAGTGCTTGATGACACAACACTGACTGCTGATCGTCATTATAAATAACGATCCATTGCGTACGCCTAATCACGTTACATGCTCCATGGACTCGCACCAGCCAACGACGCAATGTGTGCCTGACTTTAGTCTTAGCAATGCCTGATGGTAACATAGTTTTTCTCAAATGATAAAATATTTTAATTAAGTATTATCAATGATATTATTTCATAACATCCCCAAAAATTATACATTGGATAAAAGCAAAATTATTTTAAAAAATTATTTGTGATAGAAATTCTCTTGTTGAAGGCATCTTTTTTCTACATGACTGCCCTTTCAAACAGCTCTTTTTATTTTCAACAAATTCTACAAATATATACAGTGAACTGTTTTGGCTAGAGTATATACAATACAATGGTACACAGCAACATACAACAAAACATGTTTAAACACAACTTTTTAAACACCTAAATGTACAATGATATATACTGTAATTTCTTCAATAATTTTAAAATAATATTGTAAATACAATATTATTGTTAATAGAATATTGGAGGTCAAGGTTTATTGAAAAGTAAAGACTCATATAAATCAAGATAGACTCATATAAATCTAGGGTTTTTGGAAAAAAGATTGAGGGCCCTTTTTTCATTTTTACCCACTTGGATGACAAAAAAGAATACATAAGAACAAACATTTTTTTTTGGTGTAACAGTTGAATTTACTTATGATACCCACCACAAATGACCATTAAGAAACAAGAAAAGAAAATACAGATACAAAATTCTTATATTTATGTTATTAAACATATTTACAGATGACAAATTAATACTGAATTTTTAATTTTAAAATTATCTGATAAGACAGAAAATTCTTCTCAAGTAATTTGTATCCCAAAAAAGATATTAGCTCAGATTTACACTAAAGATCAGTTCAAGGTATGCTAAATAGTGTATAAATGAGTTAATATGCGACACATTTCAATGATAAATTAATTGAAACTTAAAATTAGATCTTGCATTTTTGACATAACTTCCATGGAGGGAATTAGAGTGTTCCTTTAAGCATAGTAGAGGTATTATTTAACAAGCTGCTTGTATAAATTTTAGGAATACATTTCAGATATGCTAATTTCATACAGAATATTCATGAGTATTTTACTGCATATTCATTAGTATTCTAGTCTAAGACTTCATCAGTTCTATACAATGACTATACCAGTCACAAAAAATACATTACTCCATAAACTGTCTTACTGAATATACAGGTACTTTATATTATAGTTGTTAAAAAATCTGTTCGAAAGATATAACTAATTGTGGGAAGAAACTTTGTGGGTAAGGTGCTCCATTTCTAATTGCAGGCTCATGGGTTCGATCATACAGTGCCTCTTATCATATGCAAGGATTTATTTTTCACTCTCTAATCATGCAAACGATGGTACAAACATTTTCTAAATATGTTGTCATGTTTAAGTGGTCCATAAGTTTTGGTTTAACATTTAGTATTTACTGTGAAGGACACTAAAGAACTTGTGCTTTTTAAAATGGCCATTTTTCAAGCTAAAATTAATATATTTGTAACCATGAATTATAGCCCTGTGGTTACCATTCCACTAACCAAAAAGCAAATTGTGAGTGATGGTTGTTAACAATTAACCCTAGGATATAGGCCATGTCCTATCAAAATCAATACTGAGTGACTCTAGATTCCAAACGTCACTGTGCGTAAGTAACACAACAATATATTGTTTTTGCCTTATCATTTATTTCACCAATATTTTTTGATTTTTTGAATAAGTTCAATGTCTATTTCAAGTCAATATCTACAATAAAAACAATTAGATAACATGAAACTTGTCTTCATGCCATCCCTAATTTCAAGTGCAAATATAGCTTCCATCCTATGGTGATAAATATACACGACACACCAGATTTCTAAATTGACATTTCTGATAATGATCAACATTTCCATAATTCAGAATTTTAAGCACTGGCTTCAATGGATCATCTTTGATGAGTAATATTATCTTTGGTGTCAAGGAAAACTTCTTTCTTTTCAAAACAAATGTATTTACATGAATAAATTAGCTTATTTTTCATCTAGCGTTAGTATTATTTTTATTGTTCATGGCCAGCCAGTCAGGGTCTTTAAAGCAAAAAGTACAAGTGCAATTAAGTCCTGAAAAAACAAGATGAATTCATGATTAATTATGAATAAAATTTAACAACTATCCACACACATATTATATCTAACATCAACTCATCTTAAAAAAAAAACACAGATCTACCACACACACACACATGATTATCTATACCCCATTTCCTTGACGGACAGTCAAATCTCTTTCTACAACTAAGACAGCAATAGAGGGATGGCTTGCAGATCCTACTATATATTTTCTAAAATATACAACTGCTTTTAACCACATATGTTAGCTTTCCACAGACTTGGGTTTTGCACATACTGTAACTATAGTGAAACTACATAATCACGTCCTTGTCCAGTTCTAAAAACTTGCAACCATATTGTTCCAACTGAGCATATGTTTATCCTCGCAAAAAAAATATTTATAATAGCTTTCTCATGAGCTTCGTTGTTTGATGTATGTTCAAAATGATAACATCCTGATCTGTCCGTCCTTGACAGGTCAATGTTTGTTGTAACCACGTTTAAATCTTGCTGCTGGGCAAAAATTACTGCACACACAACTAAGAGATCAAATAAATTTAATGTCATAACAACAATTTAATGAGCAGAGCTTCCAACCTTTGAATCACATAAGTAATTAATCTTACTTTGACTGGTTTTCCTCTTTAACACAGTTCATGGATGAAATTTAAATCCTGGCGATCTGTAAGAACATGTCTGCACACTTTTTTTTTTTAGTCTTTCTGCGTAATATAATGTATTGCTTGGAAATAGTTGTTCAGAACAACTCAACATCAAAAGATGCTGATTTAAAATGCAACTATGTTGCCATGTTTATCCATCACATTTCTATGACTAAACGATCACAGAAGATGAGCATTCAGGTTTTGGTTCGAATCCAACGTTCTTGGATTGTAACATGTTGAAGAGGAATTCAAACGAAGGTCTCTCCTCCGGATTACGTCTCCAGCACCTCTTCATCATGTCATACATTGCCCGAGAGCAGTTAGCAGGCTGTCGCAGTATGCACTGTTTCCCCGAGTTATCGAAGAACTCGCCAGTGTTTTTTATAACAAGTTCGTCAGAGAACTTACTGTACGGTTGCTCCCTACACATTGTCAGAATTTCCCATAGTGTCACAGCAAATGCCCAAACATCCGATTTAGCTGTGAATTTTCCCTGCAAAAATTTTAAGAAAAAGGTATTTAACTTTTTGAACACTGAATAATATGATTTTAACAATGATCTTATTTAAATCCCAACTCACTTCTCTCAGATTCTAATTACATGATTGTAAAAATTATTCTCTCTCCATGAATGTGTGTACGGCAAAATAGCGCTGAAGCACTAGGAACACAGAAGACAGGCATTGTAAAGACCAACTAGGACAGTGCCATGACACAGCCTGACGCGATTTATCGACTGGAACAGTCTTTAGGTCATCGTTAGAATATTAAACAATATTCTACGACACGACTGTCCCTGATGCAGACAGACCGCGTCAGCGTTTAACTCTCACAGGTCCGACCTGACAACAAATCGCATCGGGCTGCGTTGTACGACGTTTTCTGAACACTACAGTATAATGACTAAGCCACAGATAATTATAATATTGTATCAGAAGAGGCAATCACTCACTAGTAAAATGCTTTCCCACGCCATCCACCGAATTGGCAGCACCGCTCTTCCTTCAATCTTATAATAGTTGTTACTGTAGAGGTTCCGGCTCATACCGAAATCTGCAATTCGTATCGTGTACTGTTTACCCACTAGGCAATTGCGTGTTGCAAGGTCACGGTGTACAAAGTTCATAGATGAAAGGTACTTCATGCCAGATGCTATCTGTGTTGCCATGTGAATGAGGGCACCGTAACTGTCAAAGAAATACAATTTTGTTTAAAATGTTATTTTGTTGTTCTTTAATATCAATACCTTATTATAAAACAGGAAAGTTATTGCTAAGTATTTACATACAGTAAGTCAAGTAATAATTAGTCATTGTATATGTTATGTATATTAAGTATTCACTTCATTTTACTTTGTCACTGTAACTATTTATTAAAGATATATTGCCACATAATAAAAATTCCTCTTATTCATGACATAGACCCCAGTGGTAGATCCAGGAATTTGAAATAGAGGGGGGCCCATGGAGGGACTTTCACAGATGGAGAGTGTAGACCACCTCAACCCCACCATGCTTGGGGTTGAGATAAGAAAATTAATGATTATGGCACCTCTAGATGGCCTAAAATGGCACTCTCAGACATAAATTTGATTAAAATTTTCTTTTGTCTAATTTTTGAAAAAAATTAGGGGGTGGGGAAGTAGGCCGGCTGGACCCCACCCATTGAACCCGCCACTTGACCCTTACAGTCTGAGAGTAAATTTAAGGATTTTCATAGTAAAATGTTTTCAAATTATTTTACTTTTTTGGTATGTTTTTGATATGTAAATTAACCATTAATTTAAACATTCACTCTATAATGTCTGCTCTACTGCCACAAAAATAGAGGTGGCAATGATAGTATCTCCAAACTTCTATTTTTACTATAATGTTTTCCTTGTGAATATTTACTACAAGATATAAATCTGAGCACTTGGCTTTATGGCAGTAACATAAAAAAAAATAAATCTCTACAATTTCAGGAATGATATTTCATAAGTAATATTGATGAGTCATAATATAAGCATAGTTGTTGGCTCCTCAATGTTCCTCTTGACAATTATGTGGGATAACATGATCAAAAATGCCTACAAGCCGTTACTGACTGACTCTGATAAAATCGTGTTAGGTAATGTAGTTCACAACTCAAGTTACAAGCTCTCAGTCCATTAAAAATAATGAAAATGGATCAAAGAACTAATAAATAGCTGCTTGAGCCGTTGGCTAGAAATTACCCGTGATTTCTTCATTCCATTGGTTTAGTTTCATTTACTTCAGTACTCTAGTTTTTTTCTCCATAACTACCTTAAAGGAATTTTCAATTTTATGGATTTAGTTTTACATGGTAAATGTATTTTAGTGAAATGTTTTCGAAGGTCATTTTTCATTGCATGTAATGAAAATAGATAGTTAATGCACACTTAGCTCCACAGCACATATTAAGTTAAAATTGATTCTTGTCCTTGAGAAATTTGCATTCATAAGCCAGGAAAAACAAAATCATATGAATGATAGATTGTGCTTGTGTTTACTTTTTTAACAAAGATGAGATGATTTTTTAATGATAATCAACATATTCAGATGAATTACTAATTAGAATTGATTTATTATTTTTTGATTATTGTTGTGGCTTACGGGTTCTTTGTAAAACATCAACAACAAAAAACAGATTTTAGCGATAAATAAACAAGCATGGTGAATTAGCTTTACTCTGCATTGTCCTACCAATGGTTCTGTCACAGTACCAACAGATTGGAAGAGGAGCCAATTATTAAAAAGGAGCTTGTAGCCTAACTGATTTTCCAAGTGCATAACACAGAGTACATCAGAATGCATAGCCAGGGTATGGTCGGTTTGACCATAGTCGATTTGCGTCACATACAAACACTACAGTAGACACTGCATTAATAAATGTTTTATGTGTACCAACATTCCCTATACATGTTATACACAAAACACCATTCATAAAATTTGAAAGACTGCTTAAAAATCCGAGACAGAAACAACATTTGGTGATGATTAAGCTTTTGGCAAAAGAGCTTTACTTTACTTGGCTCATGCTTTTCAGGCTAATTTTGAAATGACTGATTTTCAAAGACTTTGTTTTTGTAAATTACCAAACTTTGCGTAGATCACCAGGGGTCGGTGATTCCTCAGGTTCGCTGTCATAAAGGAACTGATTAAGGTCACCATTTTCCATGTATTCAACTATCATACACAGTGGTTCATCCTCTGTGCATCCCGCCAACAGACGCACGATGTTAGGATCACGTAGCTGCGACATCACCTTCATCTCTTTTTGAAAATCAGTTCTAAAACACGAAAATCAAGAATGATTACAAGTGAGTTTTTTAATGTACTATAATATACCATAAATATCAAGAATCAAAAGATTGTGATTACTGAATTTATAAGGAATTACGAATGAACAGACATTTACGTTTCGTGTCCATCATGGACGCATTTTCAAGATCAAGTGAAAAAAATAAAAACATAAGGAATTGTCCAATAATTGCAATTTTAAACTGAGAGGTCAAACATGATGGCCCTGATTTTTCTCCAAAACTTAAATAAATATGAGTTACTCATCATTGAGGAAAATATGAGTCAAGGTTACATGGGGAAAATAATGAAATAAGAAGAAAAAGAGGGCAAATGAACAAATACTCTGCACCCACATGAAAAAAAAAGTTTAATCTATAATTATAAAACACTAGAAATATTTTTTAGAGTGAAATTCCAAGTAATGCAATTAAACTAACTGTATGTTGGAATGTTTTTATTTTTCATCCACAATATTATTGAAATATATTTTTCAATATGTATTTTAAAAAGCATTACTGGCAAATATTTCACATAAAAAAATAGGTTACCAAGCATAAACTATCAAACAATAACATTATTTTCCATCTTCTGCAACAAAAAAATCATTCTTGAAGTAAATAGTATAGAACCGCAAGAGTTCTGACTCCCCGGATTTCGCTGGAACGCAATCCTATCTCAAAAAAGTACTATCGCAAACTAGAGGGTAGAAAGTATAAAGTAAAAAACAGCAGCACTTTTGAGACTAACAATATATAATTTATTCTCTAGCTTTCGTCCACACAGTGGACTTCATCAGGAGACTGTACAAATGGGATAAGAAACTAGAGGGTGTCCTTCAAAAGAATGTAAAAGGCGTTCATAAAATAGGGCACCTCCTATCTCGTGGTGCATACAAAATCATGGCAGTCGAACCTCTCACAATTCTATACTTTTTGCTTGTAGGGACTATGGGGTAGCTCACAGCCTTTACTGTGGCATCGACAATCCGATACTAGTTGCGAGTACAGCCGTCAATTATTAGTGCCATACGTTTTATGGTATTAGTTATAATTTTATTAATTTTGGGTACTTCGCAATGTTACATCTGGTTTCTTTCGACCACGAGCTTAATAAGTGCTTCTATAAACTTCAGTGTGATTCATGAAAATTGACTGACAAAATGAAAAGTTACAGCAATTGAAAATTTATGATTTTTATAAAAACCATGTTCTTATATAACAATAATCTGTCATTTTGACAATGTTGGACTAAGGTGCACAAAATGAACATTTGAGTAGATACAGAAAATTTATGAATTTTTTCCCAGCTATGCGAGTCTCATGAACCACACTACACCACGACATCAGTAAAATTAATGTCGAAATAACAAATATAATTTTAGTCTAATGTTAGTGTCAAATATCATTAGGCCTTTGTAATCATCACACAATGCGCGATTATCATGGAAACTAACGTTATAAGTAACATTCTTAGGTTTAAAACAACAGAGAATCACAAAATATCTGTGACACAACTGAATTCTAAAGTTCATACACTTAAAATGTAAGATACTCAGACTTTGCCCTCAAACTTTAATTTAAATTTAAATGAGTAGGGGCCTACATATTTAAGTTTAATAAAGTATGCATTTACTTACAACTAAAACCAACAGTACTCTGTTTTTCTAAGCAAGAAAGAAAATTCCTTAGAAATGGAAATCAATAAAGAAAAACGTGATAGTAATACACTGAACATGCTTGTATAATATTTATGGAGATTAATCTTGTCTTTATATCAAATGCTTTATATGTTTACACAATCATTGATGTTCTGCTTAATACAGTATTCGAACAAGGAGAGTAACAAAAACTAGAAATATCAAAATCGCTATTTAAATTTTTTTATAATATTTCATATACGAAAGATAGTGAGTAATAACATTAAGGAATGTTATTAGAATTTTCAAACACATAAAATAAAACATACAAAATGTTGAAAAAATTAAAGATTCAAGACCTTTTATCGGTCTGTATATAAAATGTACAGAAATTTGTTAGGCTTGGTAGATATAAAACAAATCAATTATATCAGAGAGAGTTAAATATTATTGTTTTTTTTTTATATACATCCTGGCAAATGATGTGCATGATTGCTGGGGTCTCAGCCACAAAATGCGAGCTACTGATATTTAGGGCTAGAACACAGCTGACTGCTGTATAATGCTATGTACCCCAAGAATGGTTTGCTAGCTACTAAAGTATCATTAGTACATTCCTTCACATAGAATGACGTACTTGTCACAACAAACATAATCAAATCTTATTCCCACCAGCCTTATAAACAAACACTGTAATGTCTTTACAAACAACATGCTTGCATTAAAAGTGAAACATCTATCACAAGGAAAATGGTTAGCATGCCTGGTATGTGAATATAGAACTATCCATTACACATAAGCTTATAAAGGTACTTACAGGTATTATAACCATTTTACACTGCAAGCAAAGTTCCGGACATAACCCGGAACTTTCCAATACCCGGGTTAAAATCTCCCGAGTTGTGGTTAGTGTATATGTCAAAAAATACAACCTGGGTTGCCAAACATCCAGGGATCAATGTGTGGGATGCATTCAGCGTTGGACAACCCGGGTGCATTCCGTAATCGCCAGTGTAAACAGCACCGAATTTGATTCCAGAGTTAGGCCTTACCTGGTGCCTACCGCAGCTGTGGTCAGGTAGGCCTAAACTTTGCTAGCAACCGGCTAGGCCTAGACACCTTTAAAATTAAACCCCCCTGTGCTCCGGTATAGACTTGATATCAAAACTGCTGATTTAATTTGCATAATTTAAAAACAATCTGCAAATAAATTCCTTCAATATTGACAATAATTGCGGCTTCGTTCCGACGAGGAACTCGAGTGAAGTGATGATCACCATCGCAACAAAAATTGAGAGCAGTATTTTAACCCGAGTTCGTGGCCAGTGTAAAATGGGAGCAACTCGGGAGCAACCCGGACTTTTTCGTTGGATGTAAATGGGAAATTTTCCCCCGGGATCATTCTGGAATCAACACAGATTTATTCTGCCTTGGCGGTGTAAAAGGGGCATTAGATGCATTTAGTACACTCACAAGTGCGAAATGCTTAGTACAATCTCCAGTGTTTGTTTGCAATCAAAACACTGTAATACATAAAACTGATTGCACAGTCTGGATAACGCTATGTACCTATCTTTATACATTTCCACTACAAATCCTCCATAACTAATACTGCATATATTCTAATCTTAACTCAAATTCTTTGTAAATTTTTTTTTAATGGAAATTAATTGCAGAAAAGCTGATGCCACTCTGAGGTGTAATTACTAATGGTAAAAAAAACCCAGAGAAATGTACAAGTAATATATTAATATTTTTACACAAGGTCATAATAAGGGGTAAGTTTGAGATGGGAATGAGTTCCAACGAGTTCCAACTAGTCATAGGCAGATTCAAGGGGGGGGGGGGCAGTCAGCCCGGGCCCCCTTAATTTTCCTAAATCTATAAAGAAAAGTTTGAGAAAAAGAAAATTCTACCCAAATTTTGAGTCTAAGAGTGCCATTTCCTTCCATCTAGAGGTACCATAATCATAAAATTTCATACCTCTGCCCCAACCATGGTGGGGCTGAGGTAGTATAGACCCTCCAACTGTAAAAGTCCCTCTTCGGGGCCCCTCTATTTCAAATTCCTGGATCTGCCACTGCTAGTGGCAGTGTAATAATAATAATCACAATTCTTTATTTGTCCTCATACTCAATGGAAATCAAAAATTTTGGCTGGGCCCTTGGAGACCCACGGTAACTACAACATACGGATACAAACATTGTCTAATAAAAAACCTAACTCTCAATATGAGGAGCCAAGTGACCATACTCCAATTAAAACCCGACGCTGGGTGGGTTTGAATTGGAGTCTTTAGCAGAAGAAGCGGGAACAATACCTCTCAGCCCACCATTCAGCTGATAACAGTAGACCTGTGGAGTTTGGTGGTTTCGTCACAACTAAAAATAAATCAACTACCCAAGCCTCACAAAAAGACTTGGGTTTCTGATGATCAAGACTAATTCTCACTCTAGTCAAATATTCCGAACTAGATTAGAAAATAAATATTAATGGGGGTCCAAATTGATTCCTATCTATCTAAATAATGTGTAAATCATAATTATATAAAGAAGAAAGAACAATGCAAGGTGTAGACCTACAGTGTAGGACCAGGAAATTGGATATGGAATGGGAACTAGAGTTATTCACAACCCCAAGATGTCAAACAATAACTGAATCCCAATTGGTCTGTAAATCATAAACTAACTGCAACAGGTTGTTGAGAGTCCTATTAGTGTGCAGCCAAGTGTGATCCTATAAATCAATTCTACATTCAATACCCCAAGCCCCTGTCATTTTCAAAACATATGAACATGAAGCTACTATAAGCGTCTCTTTACAGCGAGTAGGTATTCACAGACCACAGCCATACCCAATTCAGCTCAATGATGCTGCATATTAGAGAGGTTCTATTATCTCGTCGTCTTTCATACCATACAGGGTAACCCTTTATATCCATGATTGATAATCTTTGAAATTAAATTCACAATTTTAGGACAAATCTAATAATTTATGGATATATTTATTTTGAAATTATATTCAACAAAAACAAACACAGGAAATACTAGAGTATCAAGAAAGCTTTGACAGAGCAAAATGCAATTGAAGTTGGATTACATAAATCTTGTGGACCTTATAAATACCAAGTACATTTAAAACCCTGGTGGAATGCAAACAGCTAATAAAATTCTTTCTGAAATGGTATTCAAGAATCAAATAAAATATATTTCTGACACATTTCATTACTTTATAAGCACAAAAATGAGTCACAATATACCTCACTGAAAAAAAAATGCTGGATGGCTCGGATTTATTAGTTGGATGCCACAACATTCATCTTGGACCTCTTACTCCCCAAATGACTCATTACTCCATCTTTTAACACACTGTTATGAGTCTCTGCTACTTTGTACGTACATCATTAATTCACCAGATGTAATAAGTTACATTCCAATGACCATGTTTCTACAGTTGACAATCAGCGTTTTACTACAAAAATATTCAGTCTAGCTTTATTTTGTGCAACACAGATTTGATACTGTTTAGGTTGCTAAGAATTTATTTCTTTTCACAACAACCATCTACAGTACATAACCTGAAATTCCAGTAACAGAGCACAGAATTGAACAAGATACAAGATAATAATTGCTGAATTTCCAAAAACTTGTTTTACTGGTACATTGGCGTGATAAATACATATGAATAGAGGGATTCAGGGATGACCTAAACTTGGGTGTTGGATATAAACAGTCCACTGTGTAATAATTACCATTCCTTTCCTTATTCTAACATATGTAATACATAGAACATTCTAGAATAACATTCAATTGACAATTATAGGAACACAGGACACCATGTAGAATCCAGGAGTAGTATTTGGAAGTTTCTGGAATCTTGGGTACTATAAGGCAAATAAGTCTAATTGGTTAATTATGATGTAAGGTAACCAATGAGGAACTTGGGCAATATAGAATGATCTTGAATGCTCTGGAATAGTGCAGCTAGGGTATATAAGCTGACAGTTTTATCTTTCTGGAGCCCTTTTTGAAACACATGTTCATGTGAATGTTATTGTATTGTTTTGATACCGGATTCTTGTTGAAGTTTACACAGAAAAAATGTTTATTTTTGAGTTGTGTTACAACTTTGTGAGCTGTGATTTATATTTTATATGTCAAAGAGGGATTCCTAGTCATTTCTATACCGATCGGAAATATGTGAAGTAGGAATTCATGACAACTGGCACAGCTGTGTTTTACATGGAGATCGCTATGGCGGTCGTCGCTTGTTATTGCTGTAAAGATCATCATAATTCCCAGTAAACTATACCAAATTGATTGGAAATTAAACTTAAGAATTTTACCTTAATTGTTTGCTAATGCTGTAAAGGATACTGGCCTGCAAACATTGAGATTTTTTGACAAATGTTAGGCCTAGGCCACTGCACATCTACGGGATGGTTAGTTATGCATGGTGGTCATCAACCCGCGAACTACGCTGCGATGTTAAGGCCAGCTAAGGTTTATGAAGGATCACTTAAATTTCAAAGCATACAATCCAAGGAGAACACTAGGATAAGTAAATAAACACTATTTTGAACAATCTTATTGCCTTTCCTAGCCATTTACTTCTCACCACTAGCTTCCTACAATTTATTTTCATGTTATTATGTCGCTGTCAAGCTAAGCTGTTTGCTAACTTTTTTTTATTGGACTTGGATTGAACGTTATTGAGATTAACACCATTTTACGATATCTTACTTGATCCTTGTTTTTAACCACCGTTGAATTCGAAAAGGAGGATGATTTGTATTGATAAGTAAATCTTACTTGAATTACATAAAAAGCTTGATTTGTTTTTTTTGTTAGCATTCGTGACAAATACTGCCATCAATGTCAACATTTAATTGGCAGATTTAGGCAAATTAACGAGTGATCACTATTAATTAGCCTTAATAATCTTGCTAAACTAGCTTTGACGTATGCTTTTGAAAGTTGTCTCTATAGTGGAGAGTGTTAATTGATTGAAAACAGACTTGTGCCGAGAAATACAATATTGGCTGAGAAAATGAAGAGATAACTCAATAAAAACAATCACAAATAAAGGAGGGAGAACAAATCGTGATGTGAAATAATACCATAAAATTGATAACAACATAAAAAAAAAATTAATAAAAACAATATAATACTAATAATTAACAATAATACATAACTAATGACAGAAACAGGGTTTGAGTAGAGGGAATTAATTACCAAATAAAAATGTAAGATTCCTGTATTCAGAGATTCTGTTGATTTATGATCAAAACAATTTTCACAGTTAAAGAAATTAAACATTTGCCACTTGATTTACAAGAGCCACATTCTTTGGTTTAAAATCTTTAAAGGGTTTAAACAAAGACTCACAGCCTTACTCCTAAATTGCATTGCATTAATCATGACTATAAAGTTTGACATCAAATCTCAACATTTTGATGGATAGCAAACAACATGACACCATGTAGGTACGAGACTGATGAAAACACCAACCTATCATTAAGCCGCTGATTATTAGCTCACCAATATTCCAAGCCAGATGGTTTGTTTATTTTGAATTTATTTATACTCTTCAAAGGGTATACCTTCAATAATCCAGCTGTGTTTAGTCACTTGTAATAAAAGACACAATATTTACATATCTAATTCAAGAGTTTATAGAATAATAAATATTTGCATCAAATTGATTAAAAATGTATGAATCATACAGTAATTGGATTAAATGTTGGCTTAAAGACTTAAGCTGTGATTTTATTAGTGACTGACGTAATGTGTGACTGACTTAACAATGTTTGATCAGATTTAATGTGTGCTTGTTTTAGATACATCTGAATCGTTGCATTTCACCATGTCTGCTGTAAGTAAAGCCGACTCACACGTTGCAAATTTGCTTTACGACAAGCTGTGCTACAACATGCTCAGTCTAAAATCGCTTTGGGGCAAGGTGTGAGAGGCCTTACAGTATGCACGCGACACAACACAGATAGTCCTCGTATAAAAGTGCACGATATCGTTTAGTCTTGAACATGTTCACAAAATTGTAGTTTTAAGTGTCATACCACAGGTTATCGTAAGCAAAATCACAGCATGTGAGGCCACAGAATGTAATGAGACATCCTCTCCGATTAAACATTTTCTTTAGAATTTGACAGATAAAAATCTGATAGGGTATGGTTACCTTAGATTACATTGATATTTTTTTTTTTTTAAGATGCTGAATGCAAGCTATGCTGAGCCATCAAAGGACAGCTTAGAAGAAACTGCGTGTGCACTGAACCATGATTTGCTCCCTGGTTAAATTTCATTGTTATTCTCTATCAAGACTGTAAGTTTAAAATAGCGCCCCCATCATTTGAATGAGATGTTTAAGTCGTTGCTATCATAAGCAATATGATTCATGTGCATATTAAAGCAGTAGTCTTTAGAAATAATCAGGATAATGTCTCATTTTTTATCGCCCAATTCACCACCAGAATAGCCCACAGAAAAAAACGCATTATGATGCTATCCTTGGTGGGTTTCAATGAAAAATTCAATCCACTAGATCAGTAATGAATAATTATAATTTGATTAGTATTATCAGGGGTCCTAAGTCTTTCAGAGGTTGCGGGAGTCTCCCGGAAATCGGGAATTCCCCTCACACTTTTGCAAGCAAGCAAGAATCTTCGGGAAAATAACCCACCTCTAACTTAAATTTGTATATTTTCACTACTTCACATCTATTGTCTCACTGAGGTCAGTACTGGTGAGTATCATCATTACAGCAAAAGAAAATTCAAATATGTTAAGAATACTTATTCAATAATATCTCCCGAAAGGGATCTTTTCAAAACATAATTATGTCAGAGCACTAAAAAAATAAATAAAAAATAATGAAGATGAGCAAGATTAAAGCATGGTCAAATTAGATGAATCACCTGACCATGTGGGACACTCATTTTAAAGTTCATTCACATAAAAATAATACACACCTGGCATTCTTGTTGGCATTTCTCCTAAGCATTTTTACAGCTACCAGCGTTCGTTGCCCTCGATTTCGCTTCACAAATGGAAAACCATTACCAATGTAGTCTTGTATATTCTCTGCCTCGCACAGATGAACCTTGGAGAAGAAATTTGGACCAATAAATCACTCAGTTCCAAGGTGACCAAGAACATGCTGCATATAAAACTCAACAACTCAATGTTATCTTTTATCAATTATTTGTGTATATTTAATTAAATGTAATTTTCAGATTTTTCATGCTAATTATTTATTAATTGTCACTAGATGGTAAAGGTGCATGAATTCCAATCCCAGGGTCCTGAATACAATTTTTGTTGTCCACTCCACTCCCTAATCATTATCAGAAAAAAAAACAAATTATAGTCATTCATCAGCACAGGAATGGTGGAAGTTTTTGTTCTTTTTAGTACAAATTCTGGATGAAATCTATCTTGCATCTATCTGTATTTGAGGAACAGGCAGCGTTTCCACAACTGATCCAGAAATACATCATAAAAAATCCCACTCGAATATATATAATGTTTTGCAGTATAAATGGTTTTGATAACTCTTCTGGCAAGCAATTTATGTGACATTTTAAGTTATAAACTACAGTATTTAGAATGTGTCATGTGTCAATATCAATTGAATTACCCCTATTTCCTCAGATTAGGTGTGGATGAATGAATTAAATTGCACATAGAATGTGGTACTGTAATTGGTTTGTATACTTTCGGATACATGAGGCGAGACACTTGGAAAATAAATTTACTACACCCACCACCACGTATCAGCAGCCTGTTAAGACTATGGATTTAATCACAAAGCTATTATGCAGATATCTTAAAGTAGTCTGAACAAGTGCTCATAGTAATTAATTTTAAGCTCACATTAATGCTTTTTATTAATCTTTAAAATGTAAACATCCTGAGAAGCTGTGTCTATCATTGATTTAATCATAACCTAGAACATAATGGTTTTACTGTTTTACATCAAAATGAATTTTGAGACTGCATTCATGCTTTTATGCCTGTTAAAAATTCCGAGCTACCTATCATTGATTGACAATTATAAGAGCGAATTCTATTCGATCTACTTATTATAGCGTGCCAAATATGTCTGCTATTGTCTGTGTAAAAATTTAGTAGTACAGATATGCATATCTCCCTTCAACATGGCACATCCACAATGTACACATGGTGTGCTAAATAAGTCTACTATTGCAGTAGCTGCTTATAAATTTAGTACAACAGACATCTTTCCCTACAGCATCACACAGAATATCTCCACACAATAACTTTTTAGAGTTAGTGTCAAGTAAGTCTGTTTTTTTTAAAGCCACTTATAAATTTAGCGCTGCACAGAGGAATCATTCCCTATAGCAGAAAACATTCACAATTTACACATACTCACATGGTAGTGCGCTATAGTAAGTCTGCTATTGTAATGGCCGCTTATAAATTTAGTGCTACAGACACATCATTCCATACAGCATGGCACATCGAACATCTACACATATTCACTTATCATGTGTGCTAAATAAGTCTGCTATTGTAAAAGCCGCTTATAAATTTAGTGCTACAGACACATCATTCCCTACAGCAGTTAACATTCACAATCAACACATACTCATCAAATGGTAGTGCGCTAAATATGTCTGTTATTGTAAAGGCCACTTATAAATTTAGCGCTACAGACACATCATTCCATACAGCATGGCACAACGAACATCTACACATATTCACTTATCATGTGTACTAAATAAGATTGCCATTGAAAAGGCCGCTTATAAATTTAGCGCTACAGACACATCATTCCCTACAGCAGAGAACATTCACAATCCACACATACTCATCAAATGGTAGTGCGCTAAATACGTCTGTTATTGTAAAGGCCACTTATAAATTTAGCGTTACAGACACATCATTCCCTATAGCATGGCACAGCGAACATCTACACATATTCACTTATCATGTGTACTAAATAAGATTGCCATTGAAAAGGCCGCTTATAAATTTAGTGCTACAGACCTATCATTCCCTACAGCATGCCACAGCGAACATCTACACATATTCACTTAGAAAGAAAAGGTAAAGGTAGGAGTAGCAGCGTCATTGTGCTGAATTGCGTATGGGAGTGGTCTGTGACTAGCTAGCCACGGTAAAGTGGCGCTTATAGTAGTTACATGTTCATAACATTCCACAACGACAGGGGCTGAAATGAAATTTATCATGTCCTCTAAATACTTCTACTATTTTAAAAGCTGCTTATACATTTAGTGCTACAGACGGATCATTCCCTACAGCATGGCATGGCGAACATCCAAAGACTTGTGCTAAATGTGTCTGCTATTGTAAAAGCCGCTTACAAATTTAGTGCTATAGACGCATCTTTGCCTACAGCATCACAGTTAGCATTCTCAGTTTTACTCCTTTGAACTAGCATGGCGACATTTTTGTAGAATTGTTCTAGATCTCATGGATGTGAATTCCACAATGGACAATAAACCCAGCTTAAATTAAGACCTAAAGCTTTGTCGTTTTATGTCCAGCTTTATTAGATATTTAGAGAATGCACACGGCGATAAATAAAACTAAATGCATGTACAAGTCTCTAAAATACTGCTACAAAAACAAAACTGCTCAGCTCTCATATTCGTCATTTCATCAAGGGTGGAATGTTTACAATTAGGAAGTACCCAGTGGTTAAATACTCATATGAATATACACCACAGACATGTGGTGATGTACTTTACATGTAATTTATAAAATTTATAAAAGTAATTTATTTAGTATTTCATATATTTATTTACAATAGAATCCACAATTTATTGGATTTTGGGCCTCATTCTCTCTTCACACTCCTGAACAGTATTCGGTGTGATTTGCTGTTATTTTTCAAAATATGTAAATGTGTTATTGTGTTGTTTGCCATTGTCTTATTTTGTGTTTTTACACATACCTCCCCAAACTGTCCTTCTCCAAGCCTTTCCAAAAATATGAGTTTTTCTCGTGGAAATTCTGGGCACAGAGATCGAATATTATTTAGTTTTTCCATGCATTGGTCAGGGACGCCGTAGATTGTGTTGCCCGACACGCCCTGAATACTCATCAGGTCGGTTTCTGCATAATGCTGCTGTTGTAAGGACTTCGGAGAACAAGTCGGCTCAGCGTAAACATTTGCTTCATCTATCGATAGAAAAAACAAATCATTATATATAAATACAAAATTTAATATAAAAACTTAAATATCTAATTTTATTCAAATAACTTTTTAACGATTACATGACAGGCATATATTTTGAAAGATAATGAACCCCTTACCTAGTGTGACAATTAAGGCCTCATTTATTGTGGAAGCTATCCAATAAAAGAAAGGAAAGATGCCATGGAATATAATATTACTATCAATTCAACTATTCAATTATTACTAACAATCCAACAAGTATTTGGTTTATTTTGAGGATAACAGACATAAGGAGCTTCAGAATTAAGGCAGACAATTAACTACAATTTATAAAAATTGGTATGCAAGTAAGCAAACAAATTTACAGAAAATACACACAGGGTAATAATTATACACATTGATATACTGTTCACATTAATGTATTATGCACTTAGAAATATTAGCATTTGGCATGCAAATACTATACATTGAATACATTTAAGAGGGCTAAAAACATTCTTCACATTAATACACTGTACATACAGTAGGCATATAATAGTATACAAATACAGCATGGTTTTAAGTAGTGAATTCTACTGCAAGGCATGTTGGATGATGGGAACTACCTCCCTCCGCGATTACTCAGTTTGCATACAGTTCACGTAGGCAGAGGTGCAGTAGTCAATATTAGGTAATACTTTTTTTCCCACATACTGGTAAATTTGGCACACGCAGGGAAGTATTAGTAACATCTGCACCCCTTACAGGGTGGAATTGACCAATGAACTGTTGCAATTACATAATTTATATGCATGAGTTATACACTCATGTACTGTATGTAAATACTGTAATAATTAATAATATATTAATTTATATGCACAATTTCAAATAGTTCAACACGCTTTCTAGTAGTAGGCCTTTGCAAATAATAATGTTCTATGTGTAAAATAGTAAATTCCACAAAATTTTTAATAATGCACTGTACATAAGCAATGCTCTGCATTCAGTAATACACTAAGCATGTACACACTGTACATAGCGCATGCCAACACGTACATGTAGCCTAATTACTACTAGCAACAGCCATTTTACATCAGATTCTGAAGGTGAATTAACTAGTAGCGCTGTAGAATCATGCTTTTAAATTAAGTCAATGAATGCCAGAGAGAATATATTACAGGCTGCTTATAAGCCACAACATGCCAGAGGGGTTGAAATGGAGGCTGTTTATCAGCCGCAACATCCAAAAAAAGAAGACTTTCTTTAAGACAGACATTGATTGATGTTTTTTCTCAGTCGATCAACGTCATTTGCCAGTCTATTAACAGGATTACAGAAAAGAAAGCTATCATATCATGGCTATATGTTTCATCCACTTACCGACAAACGCACCCGAGTCCTCATCATCACTTTGTGGGACTTTATTATCGATGATATGATACTGTGGCTCATCACTAGGGTGGGAGATCTGATACGTTGGGTTGGCACGCCGGCTATTGTAATGCATCAGCGAGCCATTACCAGCGGCTCGAGTGATGGTTTCGGCGTGGTACAGTATCTGTGGTACCTGGTGCTTGAGGCGGATGTATTTGTGACGGTACAGAAATAACAGAAGACCAAAAATAAGCACAAGGAAAATGAGAACCCCGAATACAGCTCCAAGGACGACAGAGGTGGTGTCTTCATGTTGGGGCACAGGTATAGCCGTTGTCATACCTGAAATATATAAATATGCTCATCTTATTTTTTTTTTAAATCATTTGTTTTCTTGTAAAATCAAAAACAAAATATTTATATATTCCAAAATGAATAGCAGTAGGAACCCGTTTTAAATTTCAACCAACTGATAATCTCAGGCACTTTCTTATCTGAACTTCTTAACTATCTGTACTCCCTGTCTCTTATACACATCTAGATGTGTATAAGAGACAGCCCTACAGCAGTTAACATAGAACACAGAACTGGAAGGCAAGCTTTTTAAACACTGAGCTACAGATTTAGACCTGTATCAACCAAAAGCCCAAAACCAGACTCCAGAAGAAAATTAAAACTTTTGATAGTACAACTGATTTTTTTAAGACACAAAAAGGGTGTTTGACATAAAAACTGTAAACAATTAACGAGATACAGCTATTTGAATATTAAAACATTGGGGGGAAATGGGTGGTTATTGTACATCATTCATTTCTTTGAAAATTGACAGCATACCCTATTTGTAATACCTTGTCCACATATTCAAATTTTATGTGACAAATTTGTATGATGTGCCAATATATGGCCACGATGCTGTCATATTACACTCAAATATGTGCATCTCATATATTTTCACATAAAAAAATTCAGATGCTACTCACTGAAATAATACCGTGGGCTTTTGCATATGTGTTATGTGAAACCAAATACAATAAGGGTGGGCTTATACCCAAAAATTAATTGTATTGAAGTCCCATTCCTGGAGAAATTTCAGTTGTTAGGAAAAATCAGATTTTTATATGAGGCATGTCGTGGCGAAATGTTTAAGTTGTCGCTCTGGCTAGTATTGAGTAAATGAGCTATAAAATATGGGAGCTCAAAAAATGGCCTAAAAATCCAAATTTGTTTTTCACTATAAATCAACAGTTTAATGTCTTATTAATCATGTCCCATAGTATTAGTTCTGGAAGTGGTCAACAAATTGTTTATTTAATGTTATTTTGATAGTTCATTCTATTAAACAATGTATGCACAAATAACTTTGAAAGGCAATTACTCAAAATCATGTTTATCTTGATTCTAAGTGTACTGTACTTTCACTTTCCAATAACTTATGCTTAAGATGTGACCCCCTCATTTTAAAGATCACATACTCATGTATCTGAAAATACCAATAACTTGAATTTTTGCTACAACTTAGCCATTTTGCCACAACATGCCTCATATGTTATAAAGATTTATAATTATAATACAAAATCGCTAGTTTAACTGAATTTAGACATTCCTAAACATAACAAAATGTAAAAAAAGACTGAAATTTGAGTTTTTGTGTTCCATACAAAAAAGAAAAGCAGATGAATTTATTATGTTTGATTTTTTGACAGGTCTGTGAAGAAATATAGTAGGCACCAGAAACATTAGCTTATTCAACACTGCTAGGCTAGGCCTAGCCTTACCTCGATTTAGGTTCTGTTTTATCGGACATAAAAACGGCCGAAATGATATTTTATGTACTGACACTTGTGAAATATAATATTTCATTGGAATCATTTCAAATTAAAAAAAAAAAAGTGATTCTGACCAAGATTTTGACAATGAAACAAAAATATCACAGGCCTACTCGATCGACCGCAGTGTGCGAAATGCGAAATACAAAAACTAACCTCTTTAGAGAGGGTGCACTTTATTGACTATATAAAGTATAAACAAAAGTGAGAGCATTCCAGCAGATGCACACTACAACCTCTGAATTTGAATAGTAATGAAGTCATCAAGAAAATGGTAATCTCCTATGAGAAATAGTTTCTATTTCTCAATTTTTTTTTATCCTTTCGCTATGGTTTATAATAATTAGAGTAATGCATTTTCATTTTTTCTAAAAAAATTCTTTTTTTAGTGAAATTTTGCCGAGAATGGGGCTTTAAGTATGACTAAAATATGGCTTAACAAAAAGTTAGTCTCTTCTAGACTACTAAATACATCATTCAGGGGACATACAGCTTCATCCCATAAACGTAACCTTCATAAAACCTAAGTGTTATCATTGTAGGTTTTTATATTATTCAGCAACCATTTTCAAGTTGGTAGCTCTTCTTATAGCATTTCTGACTATAAGGACCCCCACAAAAATATGACACAACATAGTATTATGCATAGTTGAAATAGAAAAATTAATAATTCATAATACAATAATAGGCCTACTGAAACAATAACATAATGCTATTTATTCACAAAGTTAACCATTTTAAACCAAATATAGATAAAATAAAACAGTAATTACTTATTAAATAACACATTTCAATTATGATAAAAACACCCTGTTGTCAGTCGGGAGAATCATTGTGAAGGTCAATGAAAAAAAAAAAACTTGTCCAGATGAGTGGTTTTTAGAGCGCAGAACAGTTTAAACATAGCAGGGATTCATTGGGGCCCGGAGCATTCCCAGAAAAATGCTTAGGGCTTGATTGAGAATGTTTTTATTGTTAGCCTTGACTTACAGTAGGTTATCAAAATTATTTTTAACTTTCTCCAAGGACAAATCATTTGAATTTGACTGATATCTTAAGTGAGCCTTGGAATGAACCAAATTTTAATACTAGTTAACTAAGCCTGACTCCAGCGCACTGAGTCACGCAGGAGTAGTAATTGGTGGCGTGCTGAAGCGCAGGTCAGTGGAATCTGGATGGATTAAGCAAAAGCTATAACCAGGATACCACGGTCTTCATGGGGTCTACATTCCAGTCGTTCAACAAGTGATGGTATGAAGGCCTACTCTGTGGGGTTTTTTTTTGGTTTTTTTATATAGAGAAAGAGTGACATTAAACATATGAACAGGTGGTTGTAAAATAAACCTATCAGAAATGAAACTAATTTTCCTACGGAAACATATTAAACAATTAATTTAAAATCTTTAACAAGACAGTTTGTATTTTCATATATATTAACCTGATATTTAGTATCTTAATCACAAATCTTAAATATTCATTCAGATTACTTGGATGTTGTTCAAAATGCAAATGATTAACTTTTAATAAATCGAGAAGAATTAAGCAGCACATCACTTTAATTGGTTGGGGCACTTGATGTTATCTAACTATCATTATGAGTTTTGAGGAAGTGAAGTTGTTAATTGTTATGGGGCTTAGGGGATTGCAGTTGTTTTTTAGTATTCAGATTTTATGCCAACCATGCATTAATGTTCAGGCACTGTATACATCTTGGCTCATGCCAAGATTTGAACCTACAACATTATGAATATAAGGCAAATATTTACACCACCAAACAGGATCTCCAATACTGTACTTTTAAGTTCTTCAGCTAAAAAACTAGACATGACAATCAACTAGAAATAGAGCCTATATACAAAGAATGCAACACGGCTACTAAACAGAGCAACATGTCGCTCATCATACAATCATCTAATTTCAGTAAATATCTTGCCACAGACAACATTTTGACCAATCAGCAACTCTGGTCTTATTTCACTAAGCCTGCAGGCAGCGAAGAACAAACCAGATGAACACAAGTTACATATACTATGCACGATGATCATTATCGTGCACAGCGTAAATGAAGTTTATTGTGCTGTAAAATGTTTTGTCATCGTTGTGTGTAAATAAGCCTTTATGTGATTTATACTTTGCAGTAAAATATAGCCTCTCCAACATATAACCTATAGGCTTTTGTTCATCATTGAAAAAAATTAAACATTATGGCAAAGCATAATTCTTACCTAAAAGTTATTATGCCAATAGTTACAGTCAAGCTTCTTCGGGAGGCTTATTAAAAGTTTAACAGTTCGCATGAGAAATGGAGTCAAGATTAATAATTAATAATTCTTACCATGTCTGGTGTTTCTACCAGGTAACGTACGCTTCGGATCCCACGGTGGAATGTGCGTTGCATCATCTGGAACCCAGGAGTTGTCATGGGGATCAAGGCCTTCACTGACCTCTGCAAATTGAGCAAAAGTCATGAAATATTAGGACTTCTTAATCAGAAGTGAGGAAACAGAAGATAGATATATATTTAAAAAAAAACCCTTTTTACAAAAAATTCCATACTTAGTAACAATAATACAAATATATTTAAAAAAACTAAAACCTTCAAAACAATCCTGTAAATGGACTGAATAAAAAAGATATCAACAAATGATATTCCGTGCACAACAATACTTTTGATGCCTTTTTTGGAAAACGACCAAAAACACTAAAATCAGCAAAATGCGGATATAAAAATACAAAGCAGTGAAAAAACACAATGTGCCAAAATGTCATAAAAGTAGCATTCATACGGGAAACTCAACAACCAAATTTTACAAAAAAAAACTATTCAAACTTAAAAAAACAATAATGTCATAATTACTTGACATCCACTAGATGAACAGTAGGACTCAATTATTTTAAGAAATATTGTAAAAAAAAACATTGAAACTTTGCTTATTAACAGTAAATTAGGTATCTATTGATATGACTGTAAGTCATTATCAATGTAATATACATATTTTTCATTCCATACTAAAATTGGTACACCAAACTTTTCACAACTTAGTTCACTCAATACATCTTTGATCCTATATAATTACACAATCATCAATTTTCCCAAATGTCCATTCTGATCACCTCAGAAATTGGATTGCGGTTTAGTGAAATTGTCTCAGTTACGTTTTCATTTACGCAAACTAATGAACTTGACATATATAAGCAAATATGGCTCTAGATATTAGAAAACCGCTTTTTACTGATGACATTTTGTATCTTCGTATCAGGTATCCAATTTTGTTATTGAATAACGCCATTAAGTAAAGTAGATGCTATAAAGCAGGGAGATATAATATTTGTTGGACAGCGATAGTTTCATTGTAAAGCCGTTACTCAAGTCAAAACTTAATGTATTAGTATCCAGTAGCATGGATATCGATGGCGGTGGGCGGTGTTGACATACAAGCATACAGCATCTGGCGTGCAATATAACAACTTCATGACGAGTAACTCTGATTCTGTTTACGTATCAAGAATTGTTATGAAATAAACTAAACAGCAATGAATGCAATTCTACCCTTTATAAAGTATCCATTACTTTCAAACATTTTACAAATTTATAACACTAATGGCAGTCTGATTTTCAGAAACAATCTTCTGTTTATAGCTCAAATGCATTATGGGAAATATGTGTAACATTTGGTTTCAACCTTTCTCGGTACTAACACTTCTATAGAGCCTATAAATCTTAAATATATGAGTTTCTAATAGGTTTGGATATAGAAAATTAATGCATAGAGCCACTGAGGACACGGGTTACCTAAGACCTAATTCTAAAGATTAAAGTATCAAATCCTATGAATATCTTTTATGAATTCATTGCTAATGCAAAAAATGAGAATTAAATATAAAAATATTATTTAAAAAATGATTGCTAAACAAACCACAATTGAATCTATATTTTATTTTTCTAAATACTTTAAAAAATCTGAAAATATATATCTGAAACATATACCTGATAACATTATTCTGAATAAAAAAAAAACAAAGATTAAATATAAAAATGAAATCACAAAATAAATTTCATCTTGTTATTCTTGTTGAGACATGAAGTGAATTCTGATTACTATCAATGAAAAATTTAAAAGAACCATATAGAACCTTTCATATATTGCATTATTACAAGACTGACCTGGTAATTATTACTGAAACCTGAAATTTCCATGAAATATATGGATTGAATTTTCAATACTTTTAAAAAAAGAGGATAAATCACAAGACAGACACTAACTATTAGGAAATGAATCAAGCTTAGTGAAGGGGAGATTGTCGGATATATCAAAGACTCGATCCTCATAATAAAATATTCTAAGCTGATGTACGGTATAAATAAGGCTTCTATTTGATCCCAGATACTGACGTTACTCAAATTACCTTGAAAACTTTGGAGATTCGCATCCATTACGATGTCAACACAAATTGTGTGGGGATTGTAGAGATTTTGCACATCAACAATGTTTAACTTTCCTCAGATGAATGTCAAAGTCAACAAATTAGGATCATTCACAAAACTGACAGCAGTTTTTAACGACGGAAAAATAACATCTGTGGGGTTGTAGCGGATTATACTGCAAATGCATAAATATTACTGGCTGAAGGTGCCCGTCTCATACAAGCCGATTTAAGCCATTCCAAAAAAGAAAATGCAGTAGGATTTTCATGCCTCAGTGCACAAATTTATATGCAAATTAACAGATGGCCACCAGGAATTGATACAACCTTAATTTCATCCACCTGTGATGATTTGGTGGAGTACTCCTTTTCACTTAATAAAAGCAGGTCTAGAGTCTTAAATCACCTTTAACTCTCTGTAAAATGGTCACCTTGCCTAGGAAAAGTCGGAAATGGTATTCAGAAATACAGGAATCTCGCATGTATTTTAAATAAGGTCACAGTAAGAGTACCGTACTCCAAACGAATCCAAATCGGAAAAAGTCCTTATGGATGCAAGATCTGCACGCAACAATGTAATGCAACAGAACTGCAACATCAAGTAGTAGTTGCGTAGCTGTTCTTAGACCTGAATGTGAAATTCAGGTAGAAAGTACAAAAACGAAGACGGAAACACTTCCCAAGGCTATGTGCTAATTACACGAGGGAACAAAACATCATAGATAGCACGCTTTGACCTCACCATGAAAACACAAAGTCAATGACCTAGAGATATGATGGTGTCAGTTAATTAAATAATTAATTGATCAGAAAATTTCTTCCTAAAATAATCCTGTTATGTGTAATATCAGGCTTTTGAATAATCAAACATTATTAATCATAAAAATCAGAGATTTTTAAAAGTGAAAATCAAGTTCTTTATTAATGTTCTAAAAATAATGCTTTAATGTGATACTTGGCAACTGTTTTAAAGAAAATATAAAAAACTTTATAAAAATTTTTAAAAAATAATTTTATCATAACTAGAGATTAGTAGTAGCTTCTTATAAAGTACATAAAGTGACTAATATAGAACGTATCTGCACCAATTAAGAAGTTGAACAATTTGATAATTCAATTATATAATTTGTGTTGTAATAAAAAAAAAATTCAGAGTACGCCTTTTGCCAGAAAGGACACGTCCTAGATTAGCGAAGTGCAAGTCAAAATATTAGACAGCGTGTCACAAATATTCAGAATAATTGATAATAATCAGGATAACAAAAGTAATGCTACCTGACTGATTGCATGAAACGTGTTGGGGGTTCTTTTTTTTGGATCACTAATTTTTGACCAAACATCTCTTTAAACAAAAACCCATCCTATGTCAATATTAATATACTATTTTAATATTCAAATTTGTGTATAAATATGTTTAGTTTAGAAAAATAATCACTCCAATTGACCAAATCATTAGAACCAAATTAATATATTATGTGATTAAAATACAAATTAATATATTTATTCATTATTTTGAACTGAATTTTAAAGTAACATTAAATTTGCAAAGCCATGTAGCTTACATTCCTAAATTAAAATATTTATATCTATAACTGTATATTAAAAAAAACATTAAAACAAGTTCTTGTAACCTTGAAACTCCGATGAGGGCAGTATGACAGTGGCAGTACAGTATATTGGCCCTAACAGCCACCTACACAAAAAAGATCTATTAATCAATCAGCCAAGTGTTTCTAGAAGTTCTCATAATCTCAAAAGCTCCGATGAGGACATTATAACAGAGGCAGTAGAATATATTAGAACTAACGGCCGCCCATACTAAAAAGATCTATTAATCAATCTGATGAGTGTTTCTAGAGCTTATCATTGGAGTTAAAGAGGGCAGAAGACTAAATGTTTTGCACTCAAGTTATGTGCAAGTTACTGGTACTATTTTTTAAAAATTTTGGGGGAAATTAAATAATGAATAGCCTAATCATTATTTGAATTAACCCTATTTTCTATCAGGAAATTTAAATTGGGAAAGAATTTATTCTTGGAAAAATATCTGACAAACACATGTAGAAAACTTTCAATACATCTCCATGGTGATACAAACTAAGTTAGTTGAGAAAACATAATTATACAAGACATGGAATGTCTAAACTTGTTTCTCAGAAGGTGTAGGCTTGTTAAGAAGACTATAAACAGGTGGAATCACTCAAGCATGCAATATGTCATCACAGTCTGGCACCAAGAGATTATGGGGCACATTACTAATGTGTCTACTGCGGTCTGGCACCAGAGAATTGTGAAGTAAGTACCTTACTGATGAGTCTACAAAACCACCAAGTTCAACCTTATCTTTTCTTTCTTGCTAACAAACATCAAACTATCAGATATAAAAATATGAAGATGATCAAAATGACCTTAAATCTAACAACAGTCATGAATTTTGTGTGGGAAGTTTTAAGTATTTGTGTTTTCATATTTTCCAGACACACATCCTAAAAATTCCATTACAGTCTATCGCCTATGTATCTTGAAGTGTACTATTTAATAATTTTTTTATATTCCTCTTTTATTCATTACTGAGGCAAATTTAAAGGATTGCTACTTGAGGACTGTTAGTAATGAACTCAATCAGTACATAATAACCTCTTAGACAAGACAAAACATGCACTCAAAAATGCATACGGTATATCAACCAATTCTAATGAGGCTTAGGAAGCGGGGTTGGTTGTGAGAAAAAAAAATCCTGTCACCGACAGGAAAAGAACCCAGAACCACAGGAATTGACAGCAAATACCTCCACTCAAACACAATACCAGTGCATAAAAAAAATCCATAAATATAAAGTAAACCTGATTACAGGTCAATAATATCTTTTTGATAATACAATGTATAAATAAAAAATATAAACATGTGCAAAATATTTCAATGCACTCACAACATATCAAAATTTAATTCTAAAAATCCTCATTTTCATTGAATATAAAAATGTAAAATATATATTAAATATAAAAATGCAAATGAATGAAG